GCAAGCGGAAGCGCATGCGCAAGATGCGGTGCCGCTGTAGGAAAGATGGCGGCCTCCTTTCCTAAGCGCGCTTCTGGGACTTAACGGCGACGGGCAGTGGCGGGGGCGGGTTGACGTCATAGGCCGGCCTCCGGGAAGATACTTCTTTTTTTCCAAGTTCGACGACCTGGAAATGTTTTTGTCGACGAAATCTCTTGGAACTGACGGGGGAAAGGGAGCGTGGGGCAGGAAGCTGCAGAAAAAAGAGGAGAGACTATTATTAAACACTTTTTGTTGGGTGCCTGAAGGTGAAAATGAAAAGACCCCTTCTACTGCTTAGCATAATGTTATGAACAATTAGGGAGCTCAGCAATGTAGGTAATATTTGTTCACTTTGTGTATATTTTACTTCAATTTTAAAATATATAGAGAGAAGTAAATTCAAGGACTATTTATTGAACACTGTCTGAAGCATGTGAGGTGAGGGCAAAGTGGGCGCTAGAGTTGGGTGAATGAGGCACTCTCCTGGAGAGAAAAATTTAAAGGGACGCCAAAAATCTCAGTAACTAAGATAAATAGTATTTTAATGCAATACTTTGCAAACTTAATACAAAAGAATCCTTAATAAACAAAATATCAAAAATTTTAAATCGATCTTCACAGCAGCCCTATGAGCCAAGCACAGTTATTACTGTAATTTTACAGATGGGGCAGCTTAGGCAACGAGAACTTAATAACACGTAAGGGAGCGGAGAGGCGGGGAGGGACGCAGGGACGCGCTGCTGGCGTCAGAGCCACGGTTACGACACAGAACCGCCGCTTCCAGCCCTGGCCCGTGTGGCTCAGTTGGCGGGGTAGATCCCCGGTAGGGGGCGTGCAGGAGGCAGCCCAGCATGTTTTGTTCTCAATCCATGTTTTTCTCTCCTTCTTCCTCTCCCTTGTCTCTCTAAAAATCAATAAAAATTCTTTAAAAACAACAAAGAACAAAAAACTCTGCCACTTCTAGTTCTAGTTCCCCCATTGTAACCTGTACTACTTTTTTTTTTTTTTTTAATATATCTTTATTGACTTCATAGAGAGGAAGGCGGGGGAGAAACATCAATGATGAGTCATTGATCCACTGCCTCCTGCACGCCGCCTGCTGAGGATCGAGCCCGAAACCCGGGCATGTGCCCTGATTGGGAATCAAACCTCCTTTTCCTGGATCACAGGTCGATGCTCAACCGCTGAGCCACACCGGGTGGGTTAATTGAATATTTCTTGAAAGTCTATTGTGTCTTAGACATTTTGTTAGCTATTGACTTCGTCTCTGCCCTCAAAAGAGTTTATTAAAGAAATACAGTACCATGTGGTTCGATTTAATGGAACATAAACAGCTCAACTGCTTCGGAAGCAATCAGGACACTTGATTCATCTTGGGAGCATCAGAGAAGGATTCCCGGAAAAGGTAATTAATGCCCAAAGTAACTTGAAGGAACAATAGGTGTCAGTCAGATAAGGGAGGAAAGGGAATTCCAGGTAGTGGGAACAACGTGTACAAAAGGTCATTGAATTAAATAGAATTAGGATATAAAATTTGAGGTTGGGAGGGGGAAGAAATGTCTGGAGAAGGAGTCAGGCCCAGATCCTGGAGGACTTGCCATGTCAGACCAAAGCACAGATGTGAACTTTAAAAAGATCATTCTGGTGCCCCATTGGAGTGGCTCAGTTGGTTGAGCGTCATCCTGCACCAAAAGGTTGCCTGTTCTATCCCTGGTCGGGGCACATACAGAAAGCAGCTAAGCGATGTTTCTCTCTCTCCCTTCTCTTTAACCATGTCCTCTGGTAAGGATTTTAAAAATAAAAATCACTCTGGCTGCAGTGTGGAGAAAAGCTAAGAAGGGCCTAGAGAAAGACCAGTTAGGAATTTTGGCACAACTCCAGCTGAGAGATTACTGTAGAAGAAAAGACAGATTTTAAAAATAGAGAATGATTTGATGAGTAACCAGAGATAAAGACAGGGAGAGGGAATCACAAAGGGAGAGGGAGTCACAAATGTCTAGATTTCTACCTTGAGTGGCATTATAGTGCTTTTTTTCTGTGCTAGTAAACACAGAGCAGTGTAGCTGAGGCAGGAAAGATGAGTTCATATGTAGGTAGATTAAGCAGGAAGTGTTTATGGGACACCCAGGTGGCAGTGTCCAGCCAGAATTCAGGAGAGAGAGAGCTGGGCTAGAAGCAGAGATTTCATAGCCAGAGCTTCATAGATGGTAGCTGAAGGCATGAGAATAAATGAGATCACCCTGAAAAAGTGCAGAATAGGAAGAGAAGACTGCTAAGAGCTGGACATTGCATGTGACTCTGACAGTTATTAGAGCTACATATACCCCAGGGCTTAGGATGTGCCTTCTGATCAGCTTGGTGGTCCACAGCATTGGGCAGAGTGACAAGCTCTCGGTGCTGTAATTAATGATTAGAGGAGGTTGTAAAATTGCTGGTCTCTCTTTTCTTACACAGACACTAACTTTAGAATGGAAAGTTCAGTGAATTATGGGTCCTTGGAGGCATCATAGTATTTATTTAAATTTTAGCTGGCATTGTGAAGTTGAGTTAAATAATAAATTTTAAAAAAGGATAGGAAGTGGGTGAACAATATGGTAAAATTTGGACAAGGCCTAGGAGTTATAGGGATGAATTTCTCTGATAAGGATGTGAGCTCTGGAGCTTAGAATGGGGCTCACTTCTGTTCTCTGCCACTGCTCAGCTGTGCAACCTTGGGCAATGCACTTCCCCTCTCTGAGCCTCAGCTTCCTTTTTTTAAATAGAGATTAAAAACACTTTCTCAGGCGGAGGTTGCAAAAGTAAAATGAGATATTTATGAAACACTTAGTATAGTGCCTGACTTACTGTAATCAATAAATGGTGGCTAATGTTATTATATTTTATATCTCTAATTTGAGCAAGTACATTCTGTCTTATTGAATATATTTTGTGCATGTCTCATCTCCCTGGATAGATTGTAAACATCTTGGAATCGAGGAACGATGTATGTTTGTTTTTTTAGGAGTTAACACAGGTGACGGGTTCTATGGAATCGGTATAAATAGCTTTCCAAAATGACATGAAACAGAAGCCATAGAAGCGAACATGGTTGCACTTGGACATATAACAGTTATACACACTCTCATAACAAAAATGAGGTTTAAAAAGTGTGTAAAAAATATCTGTAATGCTTGACAGTAGAAAGCTTATTGTCCCGATAGTAAATGAGCTGTTTGAAATAAGAAACAGACGAAAGCACCCCCCACCACGAAAATTAGACACAAAGAGGAAATTAAAAAATACAGATGGTTAATAAACATGAGAAAATGACCCAACTCAAAAAAATGGAATAAACACAGTTGAAGACAATAGTTTGCGCTATCACATTGGCAAAGATTTTCAGTATTTGTAAAATCCAGGATCTGTGAAGTATTGGGAAAGTTGGCAATCTTATTTGTTGCTATTGAAGGATAAAGTTCTTATCACATTTTTAAGGAAATCTTGTGATAATTTTCCAAATTGAAAACGTGCCTGTTCTTAATCCCAGCATTTCAGCTGCTAAGTAATTTATTAGGATACACTAGACAGATGCAAAATTATTGCTGTAGAGGGAGCTTACTGCACAGAAATTTGGTGCTAACATGAGTATCTACAAATGAGAAATGCTGAAAACATTTAATTGTATTTAATCTACAGAACAGCCATGCAGTCATTCAATTCATGTATGTTCTTTATGTATGTGTGTCTCAGCTCAGGCTATTATGACAAAATACCACAAATTGGGTGGCTTATGAATAACAGAAGTTTATTTTCAACAGCTGTGGAGGCTGGAAGTCTAAGATTAGGGTGACAGCATGGTCAAGTTGTAGTTACAGCCGTCTTCTGGGCTGCAGATTGCTGACTTCTCCTACCCTCACATGGCGAAGAGCACAGCAAAACAAACTCAGGGCTTTATAAGAATGCTAATTATAAGTGCCATTCATTACAGCACTTCCCTTCCCTCAGGACCTCATCTAACCCTAATGGCCTCCCAAAGGCTACACCTCCTAAGTAGGGTTTCAATGTGTGAGTTTGGGGAGACACAAACATTCAGTCCGTAATAAGCTTTTACATGAAGTAGGTGTTCAGAAATTGTGTTGAACACATTACAGTAGCTACCAATTATTGAACTGTTGCTACACACCAACAACTTTATACTGTGTGTAAATATGCCAAACGCTGGTAAAAGGTAGGTATTACCATCTCCACTTTACAGGGGAGAAAAAGAGGTTCAGAGCTAAAGTGACCTGCCTAAAGCCAACCAGCCAGCAAATGGCAGAACTCAAATAAAATTCAGCTCTTTCTGACACCAAGCCACTTTCCGGTGCTTCCTTCTGAATTCATCGACTCTTCCTCCACATGAATTTCCTCATTATTACAATTAATGGCAGCAAATGAGGAGAAAAGTTCAGACATTAATGCCTCCCAGCCAGTCACTCAATTGGGCTCAAAGGAGTAGGACCAGTTCTTGGCCAGCCTTCATCAGGACAGCAGACCATCAACATGGATTGCAGGGCACACGTACTTACACACAATTCCTTCACCAGCTTTCTAGAATGGCCTTGTGGGTAATAAGATCTACCCCCATTATACGCAATGCTAGGCTCTCAATCTTAGTGTTGCAAACGAGTATTTCCCCAGGAATGAGCTGACATTTATTGAATGCTTCCCATATGCATAGCCCTATGTGAAAGATATAACTGTTGCTTTTCAACCTAAATATCTCCAGCATCCTTATCAGCTCACGTCATCTGTCCTC